ACCTTGACTCACTTTTGAAGACTGAGTCATTGATTTTATTACCATGGGTACTACAAAGCCAAGTTCACTTCTCAGTTTATTAAACATACCTCTGCTTAAGGAATCTATTGTTTCTATAATATGAAGGGGAAAAAAACATATGGATAGAGAACTGTTACCTGATTTCCTTTTCTGGAAACCTAGGAAAAAATTCTTCTCCAGACATGCAGGTTTGTCCTTTAATCAGGAAGAAAAGTTATCTACAGGTGTGTGAGAATGGAAGGAGAAAGGAATGTGGGAATGGTCATTTCGGAATCTCATTTTTACCAAGTTTGAAAGGGCAGTCATGCATTACAAGGGGTAGGAAGAAAAACACTATTTATTGTCTTTTTAGGATCTGGGTAGACCACAGGAACAGTTTAAAGATTTTACGTTTTTGTTTGTTCCTTGTTTACTGGGAGAAACACATGCATTTTAAAATATGTAATAAAGGTAATAAAATAAGACTATTTTTAAGAACATGGTCTCTACAAAGGGAAGCTGCCATGGGAATTATTTAAGATTGTTCAAAAGCAGGATAATTACTCTGAGAAAATCTTGCCCAACATATGCTTTCAGGTTTTCTGAAAAGCTTAATCAAATACACTACTCCCTTCTTTTTGTTGTTGTCAGGTTTTTTTTTTTTTTTTTTCCTTTTTCTTCTTAACTAGTAATGTTCAGGTTCCTGGGGACTCACTGTTTTCCCTGAAAGAGATAAGTGATTCCCTTTCAGTAGTGGAAGTTAGATATTTCTCCTACAAGGTAACACTTGAGGGAAAAGTTTTATTTTGTTGTTTCTTTGTTCACATTGTAAGAATCACTAATAAGCTAGCCTCTCATTTTCTTTTCAATTCATACCATGCTTTGAGGAAAAATAGCTCAATTTATACTGCATGGTGTTAGGACAAGTTTTTCATGTAGAGTGAAATACCTTGTATGGCATTTTTCACTGACCAGCATTTCCAAAGGCATTTGATATTTCATGAAAATCTCATTGAAAAATACTTTATAAGGGAAGGAACAGTGGTCTGTTCCACATTCAAAATTTTTGGTATGTATTTATGTAGTTTTCCTTTTAAGTGGCTTTTTGTGTTGTTGTTGGTAGGTGCTTTGAATCAATTTTGACTTACAGTCACCAAAGTTTCTTAATAAAAATGTAAAGGATTGCCACATTTAAAATAAGAATACACTCTGAATCCTTTACGATTTCTGTTTCTTTTAAATTCTCACCACTGTAATTCACTTAAATGGTATTTTCTTTTTCATGTTTCTCTAGCCCGATGGCACTCAACAAGGATGACAGATCCTAAGTATTTGTGAAGAGCATTGATAAGTGCTGAAGCTGAAAACAATGGATCCTCAAGGAAATTGTTGCAATTTTCTGACAGTCTGAATAAGTCAGAGCTTTAAGAGTAGATGGCAACATAGATAAAGTGTTTATATGGTATCTACAATCTTGTAAATCTGTTGATGAGATGAAGAGAAAAAACATTCTCTGCATTTCACTTTTCAAATTGGTGTATTTACTCAGATAATGAATGTTGCAAGAGGATAAACAGTATTTCAACTGCAGTCTCTCTATGCTATGGGTCAACTGTGCTTATTTATAGGAGTCCTGGGTGGTGCAAATGATTAACGTGCTTGGCTGATAACCAAAAGTTTGGAAGTTTGTCTCCACTCAGAGGTGTCTCCAAAGAAAGTTCTGGCAATCTACTTCCAAAAACTTACACTTTGGAAACTCTATAGAGTGTAGTTCAACTCTGATGTACATAGGGTTGCCATGAGTCAAAATTGGCTTGATGGCAATCAATAGGTTTATGTGGGATGAAGGGAAACCTAACCATCATTGATAATTGTGAATATAAGATCATGCATTGTGTGTTTGAATCAGTTGAAATTACAGATTAGGGATTGTCTCTCATCTACAAAAAATTCCAGTTCTTTTTTTGAATGTGACTCAGACACCACCGAGAAATAGTACCTTTGCTGGTTCATTCTATCTTTGAAGATTATGATAGAGGCTCTAGTGTATGGTTACAGAATAAAATTATCATTTGTATTTTACTTTTAGTTAATTAGAACTATTAAATGACAATATGAAAAGAATATAAGGACATCAAAGAGATCAGAAGTGTTATTTTAGGCTCTGTGGACCTAACCTAATGACGAGATCTCTTGGGAGGGATGGTGATAGGTGCACAGGGGCTACATCCAATTCTCTATAGATTTTCCTTCCCACATGTATGCTAAGAATCTTTTATATTTTTTTGTTTACCACTTTCAAAACATTCTGTTCAGAAAAGTGAGAAATACCTAAAATTTCCTTTTAGAGCAAAAAATAAATTTTCACTTATTACTAAGATTTATTACTAAAAGATTTCAGTTTTGTGTTTCCAGTGGGATAATATTACTAATGATTTAAAAAGAATGTTGTGCTTTTGCCATTTTAGGAACAAAATGATATCAGCTCTCAGTACTCTTCCTGGAGACAGAAGGTCACAACTATAGGCCCCACTGGAGGTTCTTTCCATAATTCTGCCTTAAACTCTGCTTTAGAAATAAATTTTATTTTAAAAATATGCTTTGTAGTACATAAAATGTGATTTCAGCCTGATTGGCTGAATCCAAGCCACCTTTTCCCCAATTTGATTATCCACTAATATATGAACTTTTGCTTCCATTCTCTGTACACATATTGAGTGAAATAGAAATGGGGAGAAGAGAGGTGATTCATTCAATAATTGGGAAAAAAAAAAGTCTTAAGGAGAGTTAAGAGTACTGCACACTGGCATACATACACATAACGTATCATTGTTTTTAACTGAAAATTTAAAAGATCAGTTGAAGCAAAGGATGCTCTTGGCTGAGATTAAATCAGTGGCTTGAAAGACTAAGTGGAAAAAACATCTCAAAGTGCAGAACACAAATAGAGAGATTAAGAAAAAGTAGGAGAAAATGGAGCAGATGGGAAAGTAATCATCAAACAACAAATAAATGCATTTCTTTTACCAAATATCTTAGTGTTTAGATTGAAAATCACTTCTGTTTAGGCAGCTTTGATGAGAAACGACATATACCCTAGTATATTCTGGTGAAATTCCTGTTCTCTAAGGATATAGAGAAAATCTTACAAGCTTTTCAAAAGAAATCAGCAAATTACCAAACCAACCACCAAACAAAAATCTAATTACTTTTAAATGAAAAAAAAAAAAAAAAAAATAACATTGGTGTCAGACTTCTCCTCTACAATCCTGAAAGCTATAAAATAGAATAATAACATCTCTAACCACTGAAAGAAAATAAATAAATGAAAAGTCTTGGAAAAAAAGAGAAATACTGCAAAGGAAATCTAGAACTAAAATGACTAAACAGCAGTATAGAATCTAGGATTTGAGGGAGAGGTAAAGCAGTGCATCATTACAGGAGGGGTTAGGAGAAAAGAAGGAAGAAAGGAGAAATGCAAAGGTACTGTAAAAGTCTAATCTCTGTAGGGTGGGAGGGGAGAGGAATGAGGGGAAATAGAAAATCCTAGTGGATGAAACATTTGGTATTTTATTGCCAAATTATAACAGAGAAGTATGTATTTGATTATAAGCAATGGAAAAGGACAATACTGATTTAAGGGAAAAATTTTAGGACTTCCAAAAGTAATATATTTTTAAGTAAATTAAATGATTTGGAAACTATAATGTTCAATCTCTGTTACAAATTCTTTCAGTCTTTTATTTTCTACTGATTATACTATGGAATTGATATTTATTATATTATTGAATTAACATATATATATATATATATATAGAGAGAGAGAGAGAGAGAGAGAGAGAGACAGTGAGAGACAGAGAGAGAGAGAGAGAACACAGTATAGTATAGTAATTTAATAGATAGTATAATAGATATACATATTGCTGTTGTTAGTTTCCATTCAGTCAATTCTGATTTATAGTAACCCCATGTGTGCAGAGTAGAACTTCTCAACAGGGTTTTTGAAGCTGTGATCTTTGGGAAGCAGATCACCAAGCCTGTCTCCCAATGAAAGGAGCTGCTAGACAGGTTCACACTAGTAGTTAAGCTCTTAAACTTTTTTGCCAGTTTCCTAAGTACTCTATAGATGATATATATTTTATATATCATATGTATTTACTTTTTGTACTTAAACAATCAGTTTTATGTTTTTTATCTTATTTTAAAAATAGATAAATAATAAATGTTTTATTTAAGATTATTAATTAAATTGGTTTATATGAGTGTTGTTCCCTATTGATACTTTTCTATGGAATCAGCTGAAAAGAAATTCACTTTCTACTTTTCAAGTGATAAAGAATAGGTAAATCAGATCATGAATATGATAACATACCTAGATGTAGAAGTAAATTCCTGCCACATAGTAAATACTCAGTGTTGTTGTTGTTGGCATGTGCCCTCGAGTTGGACCTGACTCATAGCGACCCCTCCTTGGGTTTCTGAGGTGATGTCACTAAGGAAGTAGATTGCCCAATTTTCCTTCCGAGGAGTGGCTGGTGGGTTTGAACTGCCAGCCTTCTGGTTAGCAGTCAAGTGCCTTAGGCACTACCCTACCAGAGCTCCCAAATATTCAAATCTCCCTTGATTATTCCCCATGATGTACTAACAGGAAATAAACATTGTTACTTGCAGAAGGCAATAGAGAGGTCATCATTCAACCTGGATTGTGCCTTAGAAATCCAAATCCTTTATTCTGCATATATGAAAAGGTGGGTCTGGTGAGACTGACCACATATTCAAAGTTATATGGGCTGACTTTTGGAAATAAAAAATTGAAATTCATACATTATAAATATTATGAAAAATCATGAAAGGCTAAATGATTTCTTCTATGATTAAAATTACTGTCTTCATTTTTTCTCTTGAAACATTAGATTCCAGGACTCTACACAGTGATGTGGCTCCTTTCTCTAACAAAGATGCTACAACAATAGAAATTTGGCTGAGACAGTAGTTCTTACTTTTTGATCAATGTATTTGTTGTCTTCAATTGCAGACCTCTTGGAGTGATCGCATGATGAGGAAGAGGTTGAAGGGAGGCTTCTTAAGAGGCAGCAAGTATCCTGTTGCTGGCGATCAATAAACTGCTTCATAAAACTTTCCCTTTACAAATGAAGTATACACATATCAAGCATTATTTATGAAATGGAGCCAATGATGGCATTTTGCAAGGATGCTAAGAAAAATTGAGCTAAGGTAAGGCAATGACAAAAGATTGTAGAAAATAAGGCATGTCATACAAAGAAGGGTGTTTATATTTAACTACTAAAATATTTAAAGAAAACTTCCTGAAGCTTCAGTTAATCCTGCTTAAAAAAATGTAATGTCCTTGAAATAATTTTGAAGCAATAATATTCAATAATTTATGATATTTTAAAAAATCCTATAGTGATGATGGCATTTGACTGCTACCCAGAAGGCTGGCAGTTCAAGCCCACCAGCCACTCTTTGGAAGGAAGGTTGGGCAATCTACTTCCATAGTGATATCAACTTGGAAACCCAAGGAGCGGTCACTATGAGTTGGATCTGACTGGATGGCAGTGCCTTGCCATAGTGATAATGAGAAGAAACTTCTTTTTTTTTTTTTCAACTCTAAAATTAGGAGAATTAGTTAATATCTCTGGCTTTCCATTTACCATAATAATACCTGGGAGATAATTTTACTTTTAAAGAATCAAAATTATTCAAAAGAAATTTACTTCATCTGATCTCCAAGGTCTGGTGAGAATTGAAAGAATATCTCTTCCAGTAATCACTAATCCTGAATCTAGTTTATGGCTCTTTTATACTTCACATTTTAGGTTTTAAATTTCATTTCTTTACAATCAGAAATGTCAATATAGTTCTGATTGAATTTTAAATATTATGACATTACACCAGTCTCATACTTTTATAATCCTCCTCAGATTTGTTTTTAAAACTAGTCAAGTAAATATTTCATAAAATTCTGATTCTATTTGTAATTTTTGAGCTATAATTACATAAATTTCTTCTCATTATAAAAAATAGTTTTTTTTTTTTTTTTTAAACTATGCATTTGGTTAACTGGAGGTAAAAATTGGGAGAAAGATTAGTATGAATGGAAAATGCCATGGTTCTTTTAAAAATTACAAGACAAATTATAGCATACAAGATATGGGATTCTAAACCAATGCTATAGTGGTACCAAACCTAGTCACTGATGGTTTCTCAAACTATTTGAAAATGCAGGACTGCACAGGCAATTTTATCTACACGTTGTTAAGGGTCGGAGGCTGATATCTCTCTGCCATCCATGCAGCACTGAGTCCAGTTACCTGGGAGGTCAGATCCTCCAGGGGCCATCTCACAGAGAAGCAATGAGAAGGAGCCTTCTTTCCTAGGCTACTACAGTTGTAAAGGGATTCTTCTCTGAATGTATTGTTTAAGCGGATCAATGGTTTTTGGAAGAGAGGTAGAGAAAGCATAAATATAGATAGTAATGTGAAATAGAAAAATAAAATATGTGTTGGAAATAAGGGCTGAATCAGATGTAAGATGACTTTTACAAAGTTGATATGTGCAATTAAAGACATACTTGAATACCTGATTTTAGGAACTGTAAAATCTGAAGGAAGCTTTGAGATTTTCACCATTTGCGGTCTGTTTGGGAATTTTTCAAAGATCCGCAGGCGTAAAGGGAGCTTTTCTTTGGTGTCTGCATTTGCTTCACTTTGCTTTAACTAAAGAAGAAAAAGAAAAGAAAAAAGGGGACCTATAGTACTTTTTGTAATAGAAAATTAGTTTAGAATCTGAGAAACAATGAGCAATTACATGAGGAAACACAAGATGGCAGCAAAGACCTGCCAAGTATAATTTTCTTGCTTCCCATCTATTGCTTTTTGTGCGCTAAAACTTCGAGATATGGTCAAAACAAAACATGAAAACTAAACCAAAAAAAATTGAAATCATTGTTATTTTATTCCCAAATATAAGACTCTATCATTCCATGTATTATGTTTTTGTTTGTTGTTACTAAAATATTTAAACAATAAATTTTGTTTTAGAAATATATAGAATTAGATATCAGAAGAATGAAAACATTAAATAAAAACATGAACTACAGAATCAAGCTTAGTGGTAATATTTGAAGAGAGAGAACGTATCAAAAAATCTGGTAATTTATTTTAGCACAGATTTAAAAAAAAATAAACAAAAAAAACCTCAAGATAGAAACAACATATTTGGTACAGAAAGCAAAATGTTTCTATATAGTTGTAAAAATGCCTCCAAAAAAACAAAAACAAATTCACGGCTATTGAGCCAGATCCAACTCACAGTGACCCCTCTTTGGATTTCTGAGGCAGTATCACTATGGAAGTAGATTACCCAACCTTCCTTCCAAAGAGTAGCTGGTGGGTTTGAACCACCACCCTTCTACATACCAGTCAAGTGCCTTAGGCACTAGGCCACCAGAACTCCTTGTAAAGATTTGTTCACTGCTGTTGAGTCGAACCCGAATTCCATAAGACAACTTTGTGAGAAAGGGGAAGCAAACTATTTGCTTTATTTACAAGATTCTTTCTATATTTATATATATTAGAATCAGGGAAGCTGGCGTTCTATGTTATAAACCAGAACCAATGCTGAGCTAAGGAGCTGGAAGAATTCTGACCTTTCCAGTGTGGCTTGTACATTTTCTTACACTCACTTCTTGCCCCTTCCAATGCTGTCTTCTCTTTGGTCCATTCCTCCTTCTGTTTACAACTCCTAGCTTTTCTCTATGAGTCGGATCTGACTTGAGGGCAGTGAGTTTTTTTAGAGCTTCTCTCAGGCTACTCCCTTTCCTCACTGTAGCCTAGGATGGCTTCCCAAACTACATCTTCTAACACTGATCCCATTCAAAGATCATTTTTTATTTATGCCACTCTTGTAGAGGGATAGAGATCCATGTTTCAAAAAACATCAGCATATTGTCCCTTTGTTGGTTATGCTTTTACCTGATAATTACAACTTTGTCCTGGGATCGTGGAAATACTAGCATTAGGGCTGAGAACTTCTGAAGCAAGAAGTACTAGCCTTTCCTTCTACTCCTATGTGGATATCCAAAATGGCCTGAGAGAACATTAGTCCTGTATTTTGGGAAAACTTTCCAATTTTAATAAGCTACATGGCTCAATTGTCTCTTTTTGATATCATAGTGAGGTTACATGTCTTGATTTCTGGTTCACAAAAATGTGCTCCTTTCTCATTCTACTGTGCAAGTTGCTCTTATATTTTTGTTTTGTATAATATAAACATTTTACCTTAGCTATTGTATGTCTTATTTAACTTTTTGGGTAGCTTTCAGTTTTTCTGTCCTAGATTGTGTTCTCATTTAGCGAAGGGGCCACTGCTCTTTTATTGCCTTCCTTGCTCCCTAAATGGAGCATGGAAAACAGCACTGTGTGCAGAATGGCACATTCTCAATACTCTGATGCTTATGATGATGACAGTGACCAAGAATCAGCTCCCAAGGGCATAAAACAGAAGCTACTAACATCTCCGTGAGATGCAGGCAGTTTGAAAAATAACTCCACACATAACAAAGATATTAACCACTTGGAGATTTGTTTTCTAAAAGTTAAGACAACTTTGTGAGAAAGGGGAAGCAAACTATTTTCTAAAAGTTAATTGATACAACTAGTAGAAAAATAGTTCAGTGGTAAGAGTATAAAAGTACAGTGCACAGAAAAAAAAAAACAAAAAAAAACTAAATCAGAGTAGAGAGTAAAGCTATTATATAAGGCCAAAGACAGGCTGATAAGCTAGAGCAGAAATTCGATATTTGTTAATCCACTCATGTGCTGATTCATTCATTTACACATTAATGCAATCATTCATCAATTGTACCCTATAGGCTAGGTGGAGTCCCTGGGTAGTGCAAAAGGTTAATGTACTTTTTTGAGAAAACCAGAATCGAAAACCCTACGGAGCACAGTTCTACTCTAACACACATGGGGTCACCATGAATCACAGCCAATTTGACGGCAATTGTTTTTTTTTTTTTTTTTTTATAAACCAGGTACTGTGCTAAATTCTAGGGAATTAAAAATAAATTAGACACAGTAGTGGCCCCTCACTGCCCATATTATAACTGAGTAGATAGTTGTATAAACAGATCATGACAAAACGATAAAATAGCTGCTATCCCTGTCATATGAATAGATATCGCAAGATAGGGAGCAAAAGGAGAAATGAGAATAATATGAAGGTGCTACCTCAAAAACTTCTTGGGCAGTCAAATTGCTGCATAGGACTATATTAGTCAACACTGGACTCTATATATCCTGTTATGAGTATTTTATGAAAATTGAACCTATTCAAAGAAGCATGAGTGCACATGGCATATTAATCAGGGAACTTTATTAAAATAAAAATATGGAGCTCTGTCCTGGAAACCTCTTCCTCTGCCCATTTATCTCTATCTCCACCACTCTCTCCCTAGACAAAGATATCACCTAAGCTGCTGCACTCACTTTATTCCCCCTTCATCCCTTTTGGCTCCTTCTACATTATGCTCCACTCTGAGTTCATAGTAAGTTTCTCATTTTCCAACTTTAATGACATTCTGTTGCTCTGAAAACAAAAATCTAAATCTTTAATCTAGGTATTAAGGGGCCCAAATTAACCCCTTTTGACCTGTTCAGCCTCATCTTGTCCCACGCCTGCACCATGTTCCAGTCATATCTTCTTTCATTTCCTTCAAAGTATCATGGATCCTCTGCTTCAGAACCTTTCCTCACCTTATATATACTGTTATATATATATATATATATATATATATATATATATACTGTTCCCTCTTTTCTTTCTCTCTGGTACTTGGATAACTTCTACTTGTTCTTTATATTTCAATTTCCATAGCAACAATTCTTCAGAGAAACTTCCTCTGACCAACAGGGTCTTTCTTTTTCAAGCTCATAACATAATTTGTTTTTAGCTGCTCTTGAGTTAGTTCTGACTCATGGTGACCCCACTGTTTGGAACAAAACAATGACCTGTCCTGCACCATCCCCAATATTGATTGCACACTGGACTGTTGTGATCCATAGGATTTTCATTGGTTTAGTTTTGCTAAGTAGATATCCAGGCCTTTCTTTCTAGTCCATATTGGTCTGGAATCACCATTGAACCCTGTTCAGCACCAAAGCAACCTGCAAACCCCTACTTACAGATGGCTTGTGACTACACACAAGGTGCATTGGCCAGAATTAAACTTGGATCTCCTGAATCCAAAACCAAACCAAATTCACTGTCGTCGAGTTGATTCTGACTCATAGTGACCCCTTCTTGAGTTTCTGAGGTGGTATCTCTATGGAAGTAGATTGCCCAACCTTCCTTCCTGAATGGAAGGTGAAAATCCCACCACTGAACTACCAAAACATATTAAGTTTAACCATATGATATTGATACTTGTGTAGGTCAAAAACAGTCAAGAATTGGAAATCAAAGTTACATTGTGTGACCACTTGATCTCCTTGAGCTTGTGCACTCTGGGATAAGAGGGATTGTGTCAGGTTTTGTTCATTATTCCATTATTCCATATCCAGTGCCTGGCATGACATTTGATGCAAGGTAAGCTCCAGAAAAACATTTGTTGCATATATAATTGCACTGATCAGATGGGAGAGCTAAACTCTCCAGCAGGTAATTTAGAAATAATGGAAAGAATTAGGTATATATTGAAGGGTAGATAGATAAGTATAAAATATCCATTGGTTGTTTGAAAACTTTATTGGTATGGGATATAGCATAAAATTACACACTTGTGGCATTTAACCTGATCTGGTATTATTGATGAATCAATGAATATTATAAATTTAGACTCATAGCATTTGGTTGGATAAATGGCAAGTTATATTATTAAAATATCCCATAATATAATGTTTACCATGTTACTAGTATTAAAAATAACCATTTTACATTTAAGTCTACATCTATCTATCTATCCATCTATCTATCTGCCTAAGGAAGTTGACTGCTAACCAGAAGTCTGGCGGTTCAAACCCACCAGCCACTCCTACTTCCATAGTGACTGCCTCAGAATCCCAAGGAAGGGTCGCTATGAGTCGGGTCTGACTCAACGGCAAATAACAACATCTATCTATCTATCTATCATCTATCTATCTAATTATCTACCTATCTATATTTTAATGGAGCTCATCATATTCTAAGTTGTATTAAATTATTTTTGCTCATGCTATAATCTCTCCAAAGCCTATAAGCTCCTGAAGGGCAAGGTTCTATTTTCAAGTTATCTTGTAGTAAGCAGAAATACAATAAAATTTTGTAAATAAGTGAATTAGAATTCAGCACAAGTTGATCATTGAATAATAAAACTATAAAGAGAAAAGAAGAAGCTCTTTTAGATGAATCAGAAGATTTTTCAGTATCTTGAAAATTGTCTTCTTGAATATCAGTCACATTGCTCAGTAGATGTACAGGAGTATCAGTCAAACCCAAAAGATGAAGGGCTGCTCAAATGGTAGATAATCAGATCTCACTGCTGAGGCACCAAATGGAATCTCCTACTAGTAGGATGGGGTCTATCTCTGAACAGCAGTTTCCAATGTGATCTATTTTCTTGCTAACATTTTAGAAACCTCAGTTAATAATGAACAAACATAGATCCTGAGATCTAAGATGTCCTCTTTTACGTATATACCTAAGAGAAATGTGTGTAAATGTGCATTCTAG